TAGTGTCATCACAGACTAAACCTTTAGATAATAATCAAAGTGGTTCTGGAAATGACCNCAGTTTCATCACAAACTAAACCCTTGGATAACAACCAAGGTGGTTCTGAAAAGAACCTAGATGCTATTCTTCACGCCATCACTTCATTGGGTGAGAGAATTAAACATCTTGAAGCAGTTCCACCCATCCTTCAAGAAGCTGATCAACTTGATGACAACTCTGATGAGGATTCTGCTGAAGATTCCACTGGTAAACATTGGGGTATGTCAACAATCAAGGAGATTAGAAGACACTACGAAGTTGGCGACAGATTAGCCGATGGAGATGTCTTAAGTTTTGTTTCAGCCAAAACTCTTCGTCGTTATCAAACCAATGATGCTCTTTTGAATAGAGTTCAATCATTAATGGCTAGATTTGAATCCGTTATTCATAATCATCGTACTCATCCCCGTTTGCAAGAAATCCAATCAAAGGGCTTGCAAAAGATGATGGAAATGTTGCATTTGAAATCTAGACTACTCCATTTCGCTTTAAGTCACCCAATGAACGTTGCTAACATCATTGAAATCACAGAATTAGTTTATCTTCTCTGTGAGGTCGAGAAAATCTTCTTGGAAGAAGGTTTGTTTGATAGTAATTTTGAGGTTGCCACCAATTTCATTCAACCATTCGTACAGAGCAATACGTTCGCTGACATAACCGAAAAAGCACGTAGTAAGAAGAGAGAGAAAGCTGTTATCAAGACTGCTTTTGTTGGAAAGATTCAAAAACCCAACAAAATGAAAGAGAAGTTGAACAAACCCTACACTTCTCAACACAACAGCTACTCTAAGTCTTACAAGAGTAACTCCAATTTTCAAAAATCAGGAGACTCAAAACCAAAGTACAACAACAACAACGGTGGAGGATCCTTCAGCAAGGACCTCTGACTTGGTGGGTTGTCGTCTTGGCAAGTTTGTAACTCAGTGGGAGAGTTACAACTTCAACCCATTCATAGTGGATTGGATTCGGAATGGAGTTCCAATCTACTCAAATCCCACCCTTTGGAAAGAATTCAAGCAAAGGAAGAATTTCTCTCCAAAGGAGACCTCTTGGATGGATCAAGAAATCCAAGAGATGTTGAGTTCCAATGTCATCGAACTTGGAAACAAATCTACGGTACTCAATCCAATAAACATTGTCCCCAAGAAGGGCTCAGATCAGTTTCGTTTTATTCTGGATCTCAGGAAAGTAAACTTGGGGATCAAGGATACTTCGTTCAAGATGGACAACATTCAAAAATGTTTGAAGTTTGTTCAGAAAGGAATGTGGGCAACAAAGATAGACCTGAAGAAAGGCTATTTTCATGTTCCCATCAGAGAGAGTCATCGACACCTTCTGGGATTCAAGTACAAGAGCCTTGTATACCAATTCAAATGCCTTCCATTTGGTCTAAGTCAAGCTCCCAGAAACTTCACCAAGATAATGAAGGAACTAATGACCAAGTGGAGAAAGCAGGGCATCTTGGTATTCATTTACATCGACGATATATTGATTCTAAGCAACCACAAGGAAACTACCCAACAACACACAGAGATAATCTTGAAAGACCTAGAAACATTAGGATGGATTATACAGAAGGAGAAAAGTGTGTTGACACCTTGTCAATGCATAGAATTTCTGGGTCTGGAATTGGATTTAATATCAGGTTTGGTAAAAATTCCACTCAACAAACAAGCCACTGCGATAAAACTGATCCAAGACTTCTTGTCAGCGAACCAACTGAACAGATATGTAGCTTGCAAGAAAGTGGCTCAGTTTCTTGGGAAGATGGAATTTCTAACCCTATCAAACCATTATTTTGCACCATTTCTGGCTCGTCTTCGAAAGGATATGGTGAAAGTAGTAAACGACAAATCCTGGCACGCATCGATGAGAATATTCAGAGGTGCAACCAAAGACCTCAAGATATTGAAAACTCTGATTCAGGAAAACAGTGGAGTTCCATTCGAACTGAACTCAATGAACCCGATTCGAGTGAATTCAGATGCTTGCCCAACAGGTTATGGAATCGCAGAATCAACCATTACAATTGGAAGATTCAATTCCTCAGAGCACATCAATGTCAAAGAGTTAAAAACACTCCTCATTTTCTTCACACAAGCAGATCAATTAAACCTTTATGGTCCTGGTCAAGCATTCGAGATAAGAGGCGACAATGTAACAGCAATATCTTATATAAGGAGAGGTTACGGAGTCATCGAAGAACTCTCACAAATAGCCAGAGATCTCTACAAAATTCTAATGAGAAGAAAATGGTGGATTTCCAAAGTGATTTATATTCCCTCAAAGGAAAACATTTTGGCGGACAGACTGAGTCGTCTAACAGAATGGAAATCCTCTCAAGAACTATTGAATCTAGTTCAGACAGAATTTGGAAAACACCACGTGGACAGATTCTCAACATTGGAATCAACCACAACAATTCAATTCAATTCATGGATAGAGAACGACACATTTCTGAACCCATGGGAACAAAATCTGATGAGCTATTGTGCTCCTCCTCTGGGTCTGATATCTCAAGCTCTAGTTCACTGCATCAAGTCAGGAGCCAAAGCGACATTTGTGGTTCCAGATTGGCCCTCTTCGATATGGTTTCCAGTCTTGCTAAAGATATCAGAAAGAATGATAACTGTTTCGAGAAAGATGCTTATAATAACGCCCTTATCAGAGTTGCAAGACAAGTTCGAGAATTCGAATTTCCTGGTTGTTCAAGTGCATGGCAAGTTATTCAAACAATGAGAGAAATCAGTATTCTCTCTTCAATAGGTGAAAAAACCTTCAGAACCTACAACAGGATTTATGGTGGTTTTCTTTGGTTTATCAATGTGTTCGATCTTACCATTGATAATCCTTTAGCTATTGAATATTACATCTCTTACCTTCTGGTTAATGTTCAAGGTTACAAAGCAAATACTGTGCAAGCAGCTATTCAATTCTTTGCTAACCTTGATGGCAGAACAATTAATATTTCCGTCTCTTACCCTAAAGTTAAAAAAGGTGTCCTTAAGCTTTATTCACTTTCGGATAAAGTTTCTCTTCAAAGAGATCCGATAACAATCAAACATTTGACTGATTATTTGAAGTGCAAAGACAAAGTGGATAATTTCACTTTCCGTCTTACATCTGCTATTCTAGTAATTGGTTTTAGACTATTTGCAAGACCTGGTGAGGTTGCGCGACTAAAATGGTCATATATCAAGATGCTTAAAAAAGGAAGAATCAAGATTGATCTCAGTGGTCATAAAACTGACTTCTTCCTTATTGAAAAACCAATTACTATCGAAAGGAATACTAAAGATCCTAATCTTTGCCCAATTTCAATACTAAAATCATACATGGATTTGGTTAGGAATTTCAAAGATGCTGAGTCCCCATTATTTTCCTTCGAAAACGACAAATTCTTTGATTCAGATGGTATTTCAAAAATACTAAAGAATGCAGTGGGTATAGTAGATCAAGGCGTAACAGTCTCAGGTCACAGCCTTAGAATAGGTGCTATCACAGAAGGACTCAGAAAGGGTATGTCTACAACTGATCTAATGGTCGGTGCAAGACATAAAAAGGAAAAAAATTTATTTCCTTACCTTAGATCTGAAGGCCTAGCTGGCAAGAATTTCACTAACACTCTATTTTCTCTGGACTAACCCATTGGTTTATCAACGAAATTCTTTATTGTTTTATTTGGAGAAATATGGCTAGTTGCGAGGAACGATGCAACGTTAGTATTTCGACAAATTGTAAACAATAAAATTGAGTTGATAAATAATTTTTATGCTCAAAAAAATTAAGAAACATGGTAAACACACCAAGCAAAATCATTGCTGACCCACCCACCCATTCCCTTAATTTCATCAAGAATTCCTTGAATTCTTTCAAATAGTCCTTCACTCCTTGAGTGTTTTTTCCTATTTGTCTTTTAGTTTGATCTTGGTAAGTGATCCTTCTAAGGATGCAGGATTAGTATTACCTTGTGATACAATAATTTTTATTTCTAACTAACATCATTTGAATAATTCGAAATATGCTCGTAAAGTTAGCCAGATTTATTTTTTCAAAAAATATTTCTGATAGAAATTACCAGGCATTTTTTTACAAGCAATTCACTAGTTAAAATAGAGAACTTTAATGGATTGGAGTTTTTACTGATTTTTTCCTGCAATGCAGGTTTTTTATAGGGGAGTTGTTCTATTTCAATCTCGATTTTGTAAACAACTTTATTAACTCGGGACAATGCTGAATAAAGTCAATGACCTAAAAGGCAGCATTTCCGAGCAACATACCTCATCCTTTGGATGAAGAATATGTTGAGTGAGCTTCTACCCATTGGTTTATCAACGAAATTCTTTATTGTTTTATTTGGAGAAATAATAAAAATCTATATGAATTTTCTGAAACAAATGGAATGAAAAATAAATAAAAGGTGTAAGTTTATTAATGTCTCTTGTATCAATAACGACCTGAGAGACCACACTTTTTCGGCATTTAAGGACTCTGTGCAACATTTGAATGATTTGGGTTAAGATTGAGTGCCGTTGAGTGAGTGTGCCTAAAGTAGGCTGATTGGAATTTTGAGTTTTTGATAAAAGGTTGTCGGGAGGGACGGTTGTACCACATAGTGTTTTTGTAACAATTTTCTAAATAAATGGCGAATGCCTTGTAAATTTCTAGAGCTACAGCCTTAGGAAGTCTTTTGTTCTTTGACCATAAGAGCCTATCGCTGCGAGAGCAGCTTCCGTTAAAATCAATAATAAGGCAGTTCCTCACTTTGTCTGAAGGGAGACGAATCGGATCGAGGTTAAATTTGGAGGAAATATTGTCCCAAGTAGCATACAGTTCCTGTTTTTCATGGTTGCTTTTAGAGCACGATGAGAAAACGTGTGTCCAGTCTTCGGCAGTTTGACATGAATCACAGGTTGTATTGTTATCTAGAATAATAGCGTGGTGAAGGTTTAGGAAAAGGAGTCTTTGTTGATAGTAGGAGAGATGGAAATTTCTCCAAAAGGAAACAGTTGAAAGGTGCCAATTAAGATTTGAATCTAACTGGCCCAACTCTGAGATGGTTTTTTTGGATCTTTTGAGTTCAAGAATATCGTTTCGTAAGTTGGTGATGGGTTTGTGTGACGATCTGTCACAAAGAACCCATCCACTCTCTGTTGGATTGAAGTATGCATTGAGTTTGTTGATATTTAAGGCTGCATTTGTCCAGAGAGAGTCTGTAGATTTGCCTCGGAGAGCTTTTTGAATCGAGGCCCTTGCAATGTTGCGGGTGATTGTGGATGAGGAGTTCACAAATCTACAGACCGATGCTGTGCATTCAATGTCTAACACATCTACAGGAGACGTGAGACCGAGACCACCATGTCGCTTATCACCATAGATGACAGCTTTGGAAAGTTTGAAATTACACCCTAATTTCTTCTTAATAGAACCACTAATATTTGATTCAAGTTTGGTTAACGTGGATAGGGGGACGGCATCAACACTTGATAAGTATCTAGGGATAGAGAGTACTTGGTTTGGGTTTGGTTAGGATTCAGAGTTGATTTATTTGGGTTATTTAAGAGATTACTTAGTGAAGATTCAAATCAATGATTATAATTCTTATCATCTATTAATGATGTAAATTTGATGTTTTCATTTCTTATATTGATAGATATTTAAAGGTCAGGTCAGAACTAACTTTTGAATTATGGACTTTGAGAAGTCAAATGTTTGGGACGTGAATCTACTCATTAGATTGAATAGGTATTGCTAATAAAGGAACATTTCATTGATTTATTGATTATAACGGTCAAATTGAGTTGAATGGAAGTGAATCACATGTTGATTCATCGTGGATGGGTAGTTTCGCCACGTAGTGGTGCAACTACCAACCTTTGTAGATTGAATCAGGTTGATTTGCATGCAATATGAATAAGTAACATTATCAAGAGTGATTATTCCCCAATTCAACGATCAATATTCAATAATCGGTTTGATTTCAATCAATAGCATGATCATCAAGCTTTGAATTAATATTCCAGTAATCAACGGCAGTCTATTTTTAAATTTAATCAAAGACCATATATAGTATCTTGACTTTTGTGATCTGGAAACTATCTAGATGTTCTATATTGAATAATCTATTTGAAAATGAGAAGAATTAACTTCTATTGAGTTTTATTGGTATTGCAAGGTATTACGATTTATAATAATCTTCACAGAAATCACTCTCGAAATATAAACTGTACTACAATGTATGAGAAACATAATGGTGGTGGAATTAATCAATAAATCGTTGAAATGACTGAGATGAAATGTAAACTATGGTCTATTTGTTATGTAATGGTGACTAGACAGTGTCAATTTCATCAAATTATTTCAAACTGGTAAGATTCAATAAAAAACGACTCTATACACCAAACATGCAATACGGAATGAGTTTCAATATTTAATATCGTGAACTGACTCTGTTGGATACCATCTCTATAAATATAACAATATGAAAAGTGTCAACATTCAATTTCACATGCGTTACTATGTAGAGTCATCATTATATCATCTAAATAGGTTGTATTTCATGTTTCAGTCACATTGACAGTCTTGATATTGAGATGTGTATACTAAGGTTGATGAAATGGTACCTTCACTGATTACTGACATGAATATAACAATTGAATTTATAATTCTTGTATAATTAATTCATTATTCAACGATTTTGATATGATGGTAAAATTTAATTTTGAAATTAAGGTTCTTCCTAATTGATTACCTTAGATGTTCCTTAGTTGAGTTGAAGATGTTGAGCCATGAATATGAAACTTTCTCAGATTGTTCTCCTCATCAAGAGGAGTGTATTCATATTTGATACTTGTATGATATTTTGTAAAATGAATGAGATGGAGTATATTTTATATGTTGAAATGTGACAATTTGACAGATTGTTATTATTATCATACTGAATTCAACTCTAATAGACTTAAATTGATACCATATGTATAACAGTGTGATTAAATGTATCTGGTAAAGTTACATGATGGTTGGATGTACTTTCATTGAGATAGAGTGTACACTTGGATAAAATCAATATTGATATTGAACATTAACTGACTTACTAATTGAAAGTAATACGAATTGGTTCCAAACTATATACAATGTATTTAGTTGATGTATACTATATGTGGTATCAATTCTAGATTGATTGTATGTATAATGAGCGAGTTGGAGCATAAGCTTTGATTTCATGTCAAAGTTCTATAGTATAGTTGACATTTCGACATCTACTGAACCAATATTTATGAAATTGATACCATATGTTAATTAGAGTGTCTATATATCATGATATCAATTTCAGTGAAAATGGAGTTGTTTCTGTACCTTCAGATTTCCATCCATTCTTGAAATATCCCCCATGTACTATCTACTGGATGCATTTATTGAAATGAAAACATATAATTTGATGAAAGTCCACTTTATTTGAGATGTAGAACTCGATATTATCATTTATTTTGAGATTGGTAACATTCCCTATAGTATCCTTAATTGTCTTAATTGACTAAAAAAGGTCAAGGAGAGATTTCAAAACATAAAATAAATGATATTTTCGAGATTTACTATCGATTTCCAATCGATTGATATGTATTTTGTAGATTGAGGATGTAGTTCTCTATTTGAAGATTTCCTCCTGATCTTCTAAGTCACCCTTGATAAATCACTCTTTACCTGAAAGATGGAATGTTCACCAAAACGTCTAAAAACTGAATTATATACATTATTTGAGATGTGGAACATGATGGTAATGTTTCATAAAGTGATCATTTTCCAGATTTTCATCCATGTACACAGTTGACTAGTTGGTATGATAGAGTTGAAATCATGAACATGAAAGTGAAAATAAACTTTATATTCTATCTCCACTCATCGAATGGAGCATTTTCATGCATATATTGTTGATTGAAGTGATGTATTTGACAGACTTGGTCTGACTTGTCTTTTCTTAAAGTCATCTATAATATATCAACATTTACCTTTCCATGGTACCATTTCTGATTTATATGATATGAAATTGAATTCTAGGGTTGGGAAAGCGTGTTGTTTTGATTTGTTTCTTCTGTGGCTCCATGGTCTTTA